CTTTTCCTACAGGGCCTTCTCCTCTGGCCACTTGGGCTCAGTGCTTTAGTAGCAGTTCCTGTAGCCATGGGATGCTGGCCTCTGCTCTGTGTCTAAGTCCAGGGATATGAAGAGTCAGCCGGGGGCAGAAAAGCGACAGCACCGGGTGATGCCTTTGGTGTAAAGGCAGTGAGAAGATAATCCAGGAGACTGGGAAGTGTTACCTGCTCAGGTGAGCCCAGAAACCTCCCTCTCAGAGGGAGGTGGAGCAGGACCAGGCTGTGGTGAAGAGCACAGGGTGGCCTCTCAGATGGACACCTAGCTCCAGCCAGGTGGTAAACCACCTTTTATTTATTTTCTGAGCACTGGCTTCCTCCTCCATGGAGCAGGGCTGTGAATACTATCTAAAGACCATGGAGGGGCTGCTGCATGAGCTGAGATCCAGAAAGATAGAAGCAGCCATTGAAAGAGCTCAGAACATCATCCGACGATTCACCCTGGTCCACTTACTTGAAGATGCAGGGAGAACAAGGAGAATGCTCTGGTTCCTAGGCCTAGGTACATGCTTGAGCTGGGGCATGGATAAGGAAGTGTGCAAGAGCTGGCAGAGAGCTGCGGGAGCAGAGGATGGCCCAGGCAGAGCGGCATCTCAGAGGCAGATTGAATCTGGTTCTGAGGGGAACTCTGGAGACGGGTCTAATGTTTGAGAGTCTGAAATGCTCACTGCAAACAAAAGCTGCACCAAGGGTAAATTGTGAGGATTTGGAATCTGAGTAGTGAGATATAAATAAGAAATGTGGAAATGGCCTGGAAATGTCACCCTCTGAAAACTGGTAAAAAAAAAAGAAAAAGAAAAAGGGAAAAAATAGCCACTAATGATGCCTGCCACTGTGTGGGGGAGGGGGCGGGGGTTGGTGAGAGTGTGTGCGTGTGCATAAGTGTGCACATTGTCTTAGTATTGGGGCTCGAACTCAAGGCTTCACTTTCACTGGGCTTTTCCACTCAGGACTGGCACTCTACCACTTGAGCTACACTTCTGCTTCTATTTGCTGGTGGATGTTTGCAGATGTCAGATGGCTTTTTCTGCCTGAGCTGGCTTCAAACCGTGACCCTCAGATCTCAGCCTACTGAGTAGCTAGGATTACAGGTGTGACCCACCAGAGCGTGGCTAATGCCTGCCATTTTGACTCTGCACATTTGGGTGGAGGGTTTCTATCTGAATACTGGGGACAACTAGAGTATAGCACACAAAGTGACAGATCAGTGTATAAGATTCCATCACAGACTGATTCCAGCCAGCAGATTCTTCATTACATGAAATGAAACCATCAAAATTTAGAAAAGTTCTATGGTGAATATCACCAACAGAAACAATCAACACAAAGTGAAATTAATGATGGCCAAAACAAAACCAGTAACCGTAAAAGACTCAAATCAAAAAATTCACAAGGTAAAATGTCCAATTACCAAGAAAAACTGTCTCAGCAGAAGTAATGGGTCTATTAAAAAAACCTAATAATGGCCACTTCCACAAAATTAAAAAGAACTGGATCAAAAAAATCTTAGTTACAGACTTTATGCAGAAGATAAATTACTTGAATAAAAGTAATTTTAGTAAAATAAAAATGTAAATAGAGGAAATTGATTAAGGTCTCCAATGGGCTTAAATATGATTCTCAGAAAGTATTTCCTTCAAGAAAAATCCATTAGTGGGGTAACAATGCTCGAGAGGAAAAGTACTCATTACCTTACTCGTGTAACTATAACAGTATCTTTACAATAAAAAATCTATATTAAAAAAGAAAAATCCGTTAGTGTCATTAAGATTCCAATTAAAATGTTTCTGCTCTTAAACTTAGAATTAAGATGCCTTTGGGGAAGAAACTTCAGCAAGTCCAAGCAGTGGACCAACACTGCGGTTACCGTGGAAACCTTCCCTGGAGTGGTTCCTGCCACAATGGTGCGGAACTGCTGACAGTTCAGGGGCTCCCCAAGACCAGAATGTTCTCTGCAAGTCTCACCTAGAAGATTATCTCCAAGAACTAATTTGGGAAGTAGCAATGGGCACTCTGTGGTTACAAGCGTGACGGGTTCTGTGCACTACAAGGAAAATTGCAGGATGATGGCAATTTGACCAGGTGTTGGGGGAAGCACAGAGTTGCTGGGCAGAGGAGGAGAAAGAGGAGAAGGAGGAAGTGGAAGAGGAGAAGAGGAAGAAGAAAAGGGGGAGGAAGAGGAGGAGGAGAAGGGTAAGAACCAGTTTTCCATTTCTTGTTAGCTCCTTCCCTCAGTCTTGAATTTCTAGCCCCCAGCTCTGTCTGCAGCATACCGTATGCCTGGTCTTGACCACCTTTCCAGCAGCTGGAGAATATCCCCACCCCTAATGATTTTTGAGCTTCAGTAAATCAGCTTGCTTGCTTGCTAAACCACCACCTGGGTGTGGTTCTGACCTTTATAAACCCTGCCCCAGTGGAGGTCACTGCTGTTCTTAGCTCTGACCTTAGCTCAGGACAAGGCAGTCGCTGGCCAGCTAAATAAAATTCCTTTGTCACCTTTGTCAGTGTCTCTGTGGATTTTCTTGACTCTGAGGTCATTACAGTAGTAGGAAGAAGAAGAGGAGAAGGAAGGAGAAGAGAAGGAGGAAGAGGAGGAAGGGGAAGTGGGGGAAGAAGGGGAAGAGGAGGAGGGGGAGGAAGAGGAGGAGGATCAAAGGAGGCAGAGGGCAGGAGGGCGAGGAGGGCTACACACGCACGAATACACTCTGTCTAGGGACAGTGGTATTCTGCCTAAGCACAGAAGGCGCAGAGAAGAGGCATCCATCCCTGACATTCTGCCATGACACTGGTGGATTTTATTAACTCTGAGGACTGGGGACCAAACTCAGAGCCTCAAATACTAGGTACTATATACTCCTATACTACCCCTGAGCTATGCACCCCCCCAACCCAGGAAGCCCACCAGGCTTCCTTCCATGGACTCTACGTTCATTCAATGTTTTGCTCTCTTACTTGCACCAAATGACATTGGTCCCCTCCCCTTGAGAGCCTCGGGATGGTGAGAGGTGGGTGGAGATGAGGCCGGGGACTATGAAATGGAGAGCAGAGGCAGACCTGCAGCTTTGCTCTTTTCATTCCTAAGAAGGTCTAGCCTCACTGAAACCAATGCTCTGGGCCTGAGATTTCCAGTACAGTAGGTTTCTCATTCTATTTTTTCTCTAACTCCGTTATCAGTTTCTCACTGTGTGACTCTCTTTGGGGGAAGTGAAGATGTTGAGTTTTGAAATGGCCAAATTTCCAAGGAGACCTCTGTTGACCCCAATGTGCACGGACTTCCCTGGATACCTGCTGTCTCCCCGTTTAGCTGTAACCTACATTACTGGGAACATTCTTTCGGAAGAAAGAAGTGCATGGCATTTCAAGAGTCCTGGAACAGTCTCAGAAACCCAGAGCCCTCTTCTTCACTGGCTACTTCTCCACAGAAGCCCTAAACCAGAGGGCCTGTGCACATCTTCAGCCATAAACCAACCACTCCAAGTGGCTATCATAGGCTTTTATAGGCAAGAGGTCTAAAATGGATAATTAGAATTAATAAACCTAATAATAAGAAGTTTCCAAAGCTCATCTTTCCTTTTCCTTTTCTATTACATTGCACAAAATAAACATGCCAAGATTCCATTGAAACATGTTATTATTTTCCAAGCAGAGACGCGAGGATTTCTCAGGGAGAATTAGAGCAGCCATGAGGATCACATGTCCACATCCCACCCCCACCGTCCACCTTGGGGAGTTAGTGTCCCCAAAGACATCGCTTCAGCTCTGCCAGTCAAGGCTGTCATACTTCAGGTAGCTTCTTATAAGATCTATGTCCATGGATGTTGAAGAGCCAATTTGAGTGGGAAAACAAGAGAACTTAAAAACATTGCCAGGTGCCAGTGGCTTATGCCTCTAATCCTAGCTAATCAGGAGGCTGAGGACTGTGGTTCAAAGCCAGCCAGGGAAGGAAAGTCCATAGGACTTATCTACAATTAATCTCTGTGAAGAGTGGATGGTGGGATGGAAGGAATGCATCTTCAGAGAGATTTTTACAGTAGACCCCGACAACCCCTCTGGCATTCTTACTGAACTCACAGCAAAGCCAGACAGTGACCAGGGCACATTTTTAACAGCACGAAACCAAACCAAACAAACAAAACTCTCTTTTTAATTAAAACAAGTTTGTTGGGTGAGAACTTAGAATCAGATTCAATATCTTCAAGATAGATTTGTCGTGAACTCCTCTAGCCCAAGGCTTCCATTTGTCAGAGAAAACAATGCCAAGTGTGTCAATACACATCGCAGGTGTGTATTGTTGTTCTGACTAAATACAGGAATTCTGGGGCCCTGGTTGGATCAGCAAGATAGCAGTATAGGTGTAATCTCCTCGAGTCTTTGTTTTTATTTTTTCTGGTGGTAGCACTGGGGCTTGAACTCAGCGTCTCAGCTCTCCCTTAGCTTTTCTGCTCAAGGCTAGTTCTCTCTTACTTGAACCACACTTCTGCTCCCCACTTTTTTGGTGGTTAATTAAGAGAGAAGAATCTCAGGACTTTTTCTGCCCAGGCTGACTTCAAATTGGGATTCTCAGCTCTCGGCCTCCTGTGGAGCTAGGATTACAGGCGTGAGCCACTTGCTCAGTCTACTTTTCTGCATTACAGACACAAATTAGGCTCTGCAGGCTGAAGGAGGGAATGAGAACACCAGCGGCTCAGACCCATCACCACTGGGACGCCTCAGAGGGAAGAACTAGACGCCTGGGTTTCCAAGAAGTGTCTGGAAACTCTGCTCACTGTCAGGCTCTGCTTGGCATGGCACAAGAAGTGCCAGTCTCTCTCCAGCCTTCCCTCGGCCACCACCTTCTTCCTTCCTGGACACTCAACTCTTCATTCCAGCCAGCGCCCTCCCAGCACCTCAGCCTGCCCTGTCCCCACACGGGGGCCGGTACAGGTGGGAGGGGACCACAGGCGGAGGGCACACCCTCAGTGTTACCTATTTGTCTTTCCAGGTCTGCGGCTTCATCCGGCGTGGCGCGCGGGAGGACTCCGGGGTCACTGAAGCTGGTACGCAGCAGGGTCCCCATCACGAAGAAGAACAGGATACCACCGACCACAGGGATGGCAGGGGTGATCTTCACCGCGAGGTACGGGCAGCTGCCAACAGGTGGGCAGGCAGGGAGAGCGGGGAGAAAGAAAGGGAAGGTAGTGTCAGGATCCACCAAAGCGGGCTGGATCTTTCAGCAAGCTGATTTGGAGGCTGATTTCCTATGCAAACCCCTGAGTATTGGGAATTTCTAGTGGGGGGGTCCATACTTCTCTCTCAGACAATAGAGCTCTCTGTGCCCAGCCTTGGCAGCCCCCAGTCCTGGCGGCCCATACTCTTCCCATAGGAGATGCAGGCGGAAGAATGAAGAGTCCTGCTTGCACAATCGATCGAGGATGTACACAGCTGGTGTAAATATGCACATGCCCTTTGCACTGTAAATGTCACCCATCTGGCTGCCCCCATCTATCCCTGGAATCACATACTAGAACAAGACACCAACGAACAGCTTTTCTCCTACCCTGACCCAACCACTCAGGCAGCCTTCTACCAGCACGAAACCCTGAGGATGAATGAATTCACTGGCACAAGGAGAGGAATGATTTCTCAATATTTTGTGGGTAATCTCGCCAAGAGTTTCAGGAGCTGTGGAAATGAACTCGCAACCGAGTTTGGGGAGAGGTTGAAAGAGATTTCAGCAGCTAGACTAGAATAATCTCATGGTTTGTTTTTTTCTAGAAAGTAATTGAGCTAGTAACTGATGGAACTGGTTCAGCTCTTGTTTTGTTTTTAAGAGATGGGAATGCTCTGTGGCCGAGGCTAGTCTTCTGGTCCTGGGTTTCAGTGATCCTCCGGCTTCAGCCTCCCACAGAGCTGGGATTATAGGAGTCTAGCTCTTGTGTTGGTGACAGAGTAGATCTTAGGTTTGTGTATATTTTTTTTTTTTTGCTGTTGGTCTAGAATATAACTTGCAGAGTGGCATCCTTCGAGCTAATCACAGTAATGACTTAGCTCGACCCCTATGCTGATCATGGTCTCTATGGCTACTCTACCAATGGCTGGGCCGATGCTCTGGAGGCCTCTCGTCACCTCCCCCTCCCCTAGGAGGATGTCCCTTCCCCTTGCTGGGGTCTGAGCATGCATACACTTCTTCACACCTGTCCCAGGAAAGGAGGAGAAGGAGCAGAGAGGACCTGCCAGGGCTTCCCTCGCTGTGCAGCCGCTGCCCGGCTTGGTGCAGTGGTGGTGTGGCGGGAGCCTTTTCTGGCTTCCTGGTGAATCTCCTCCTGCTCCCGCCCATCCTCTGGGAACGCTCAGGCAGGTCTAGTGGCTCTGCTATCATAATATGAAGGCAACAGGCAGTGCTTCCGCCACTCCAAATAGCCAACGTTTCAGTTAATTAAGGTTTAATGATCCCAGATAACAATGGAAACCTAAGGACTGATTTTGTTGTTGTTGTTCTTTAACAGTACTAGGATTTGAACTCAGTACTTGCTAGACAGGTACTCTATTGCTTGGGTCATATACCAGCCCTTTTGTCTGATTATTTAGGAGACAGGATCTCCTCCCCCCCCCCCCCCGCTAAAACTGGTCCAGGCCTCGATCCTTCTATTTATACTTCCTGTCGTAGCTGGAAGTGAACCACTGCCGCAAGTTATTGGTCAAGATGAGAGCGCACCAACTTTTCAGCCAGGCTGGCCTTGAACTAGAATCCTCCTGCCCTGCACCTTCTGTCTACCTAGGATGACAGGTCTGGGCCAGCAGCGTGCAGCCTTAGCAGGACGCCAAGCGAAGCGCTTGAACATCCCTCGCTGCTGTTCACAGCCCGTCCATAGCTGAAGAAGGCAGAGAGCAAAGAAAGGGAGGCAGGAAAGCAACTCGTTCCAATAGTTCTGGAACAAAGCGGCTACCCACTTTGGGTCTACCAAATGTTTAAAATGGAGACTAAGTACCAGCCCAGCTGCACTCCGCCCTCCTCCCACAGGGGGCAGCCTTCCGTCCTCGCGGGTCCTCAGTCCCCTCCTGCCAGGCGCTGCTTCCTCCTGTGCTCCGGCAGGGACAGCGGTGCCAGCTGTGCCATCCCTGCCTGCCAGTCTCTACCGCCTGCCCGTCTCTTCCATCTGCCAGTCTCCGGCCACCGCTGCCTGGCCTAATCACATACAGCTCTGCTCCGGAGCCTCCAGCTATGTCCCCTTGCCTGCCAGATCTTCTTCAAGTTCCTTATCTGGCATCTCAACCCCGTCCTTCCTGACCTCTCTCCCATTCCCTCCCCTGTCCTGTTTTCCCCCTTTCTGACCCCACCACAATGGCCACATGAGCCTTTCCCAGGTCCTGCCCATCTCCATCCGGGTCCTGCGTGTGTGAAGGCTCTGTGCGGTATCTGGGCTTTTACACAGAAGGGGGGACCTCTCTCTCTGGATGCGCCAGTGCCAGCACAATGCGCCCCACCCCCCACATACACCATAGGAAGCCGCAGGGAGCTGAGTGCTGAGTGCTGTGCTACAGTGCCAGCCAAGCCCTCCACTTCCACAGTGCAACCTAGATCTGTCTAGAATGTCGCTCCTCTCTGAGCTTGCTGGGGTCTGTAGCTTCATTTACTCAGAAGCTGAGGCGCTGCCCTCCGGGTGGCGTGCTGGGCCCAGAGGAGGAGGGTGTGCCTCCCATGCTGGTGGGCCCTGGGCACACGTTCTAAGCACTGGTCAGACCTCCGAAAGTGCTGGAGGATGCAGCACTGCACCTCGGTGCTACTCAGCCCAATGCTAGCAGCTTCACGACAGTCCCCCTCATCCACCGGTCTCTGTGTGGCCAAAGACTCGGCCGAGTGCTCTTGGAGATCCTGGACAATCTCCTGTATAAAAAGCAGAGGGAATCTGGGCAGCAGTGGCTCACAGCCTAGCTACTCAGGAGGCTGAGATCTGATGATTGCAGTGTGAAGCCAGCCCAGGCAGGAAAGCCCAGGAGACTCTTCTTGCCACTAAACACCCAAACCCCAGAAGTAAGAGGTATGGCTCACGTGCTGGAGCCCTAGCACCCAGGCCCCAAGTTCAAGCCCTGGTTCTAGCACATGCACACACACTAAACAGAGCAGAATTCATGCCAATGTCATTTGTGCTCCTAAACAATGAGATCAGTGCTACAAAACTGCCAAGCTGCTGCTGCAGAAGAGGCAGGAAGCGTCTGCTGTCCCTCTGGTGAGGACGAGGCAACGAGCAGACTCTGCCCACAGCTGTGATGGTGCACGAAGGCCTCCGGGAGGAAGGGGGCAGATTAAGTGTCTCCACTGACCCACAGAGCAACGCATGGCACGCAGCACATTAGCCGTGAGCAGCACGGAAACCTCCACCCCAGCTCAGACCCCTTGGAGAAGGGCGCGCGCGCACATTTCCCAGCAGTGTGGACAGGAGCTCCAGTTCTGCGTGCCATCTGCGACCAGGAGGAAGCCACCCCCGAGAGCCTGGATTTCATACAAGATGATACAACTGCCAAAGGCACAACCCCCAAATGGAGTCCTATTTCTGTCTCAAGAATCATGACCTACATACAACTCAGGACAGCACAGAACACATACGGTGGGCGAGCATCTTTTTCTTCATAAAGCTCAGTTGTAAAGCGACAGGAGGACAATGTAAGAATCTGAAAATATGGCTTTCCAGAACACACAGGGAATTAGCTAATTTAGTACCAGACAAAACAAATGCTGAAGTGCTGAGATGCCTTCACAAAGTATCCCTCCCCCAAACCGGGTCCAGTCCTGCCAGCTGTCCGACTAGACACAGGAAATATCCACGTAGAAACTGGCAGCTCACTGACTTCAGGTAAAGAAAGGCTATTCCAGGGAATAACTAGCAAGTGTAGCATTGTCAAGAGATTACAAGGAAAATTCTAATAGAAATCTTATCAAATCTTTAGGAAAATAATTTTAGTGTGTTTTGATGCTTATACATGAAAGATGGAACTGTTTCCTGGCTGTCATAGCATTTGAGATGACAAAGTCAGAGTGTTTGGCAGTTAAAAATATGAAGATGGGTCAGGTGCTGGTAGCTCACGCCTATTATGCCTGTCATCCTAGCAACTTAGGAAGCTGAAATCTGAGGATCACAGTTGGAAGCCAGCCCAAGTTTGAGACCCTTATCTCCAATTAATCACCCAAATCAGGAAGTGGAGCTGTGGCTCAAGTGATAGAGCGCTAGCCTTGAGCACAAGAGCTAAAGGAGAGTATGAGGCCTTGAGTTCAAGCCACAGTTTTGGCACAACAACAACACATGTAGCTGTATATAAAATTACTTTACCCTCAGCCACTGACACCTCAGAACCAATACCATCGTTAATTCTACATTTGTATTTAGAAGTTGGCTCCCTGGCTAGTATTCGACATAAATCTGATTCCTTCAACAAAAACCCTGAGACTAAATTAATCTCCAAACCATTTCAGATAGGAAACCTGGATTTCATTATTGCGCAGCAAGGTCTCTGTTTTTTCCACAAACAGTCTTTGGGAGAAGATTGACTTTACTTTAAACAAAACAAAACAATGTTAACAAGATGTAGCAGAGATATTATAACCACGTGGCCTTTGGAACAAGAAGTAGAGACTCTTTTTACATATCAAAACAATCTAAGTCATCTTTTAAGTTTTTGGTTTGCAAATGGACACAAAATTTTCTGTTCATAAATCCCAACCAATAATAAATATCCTATATATTTTTAAATTTTGTCCTGTTTATAATAGCATAGACCTGAGACTATTACCTTCCTTTTTTATTCAGCCCTGGGGTTTTAAACTCAGAGCCTTATGTATGCTCAGCTTTGTTTGCACGTGGCTGGCACTTTACCATTTGAGCCACACTCCTAGACCAGCTTTTGGCTGGTTAACTGGAGATGGAGTCTTGCAGACTTTTCTACTCAGGCTAGCCTCAAACTGTAATCAGGATCTCAGCTTCCTGAGTTGCTAGGAATCCAGGTGTGAGCCACTGGTGCCTAGCAAGAACAACCTTTAGAAGTAAAAATGAGTTATGCATTTATTATTTTTCAGAAATAAGTAGCCTTTTTGCACTCCAAGAGAGCATCTATATTTCAGAAATTACAAAGTTATTATTTTAAAATTCAGATA